TAACAGACTACTCGAGTAATCTACACATCGATTCCTAGGACATCTATCGAGGTTTTTAATTTCATGTTGAGTATTCGTGGTGACATCAATACGTTACATCAGGACAATCGAAGATCCAATAAATCTGAATAATATTGAAACGCCCTTTCTGTGAACCCCAAAAATGTGAGGATTTCTAGGCAGGAGACCCATTTGGTGCAGGCAGGCAGGCAAGACTCAAAGAATATAAATCAATAATTTATTATTTACAAAATAAAGATGGTTGACGGGGCAGCAAACTTACATAAATCATGGGACAGGACGCAGGACTCAAGGAGCAGGACACGAGAAGCATAACAGGCATCACAGTGAGACACAATGACCAGACAATGTGGGACGCAGGCAAACAGACTTAAATACACACACACTAACAAGACTAACACAGAACACCTGTGAAACATCACAGGTGCAGACATCAGAGGGGGAACAGGCAAATATGGAACACTGGAGGGAGACAGAGACCAGGGAAAGCACAACTCCTAACAAAAAATGGACTTTTGAGTTAACACAGATCACCCAGGATATCCTGGTTTCACCTTGTACCAACCTCCGACCAAACTATCCTTCAACGATCGTAAATTATAGAAAGCCCTGTCTCTGTTCAAAGGAAGCCTTGACACTTGGGTCCCATTTCCTGCATGCAGAAAACGGACATACTTTTATTCACATTCTAGAAGAAGTAATACTGTTTTTCTGTAATGAAATATTTGTTTACTGTGAATAACTAAATAACTTGCTATGTGTGTTTCTCCTGCAGCTGACAAGAACCTGTGTAGCCCAAAAGTTTACAAACTTGTTTTCTGTTTACAAGGATAAGTGTTTGTATTGGTTTTAACCTGATTTAAATTGGATAAGTGTTTTAAATGGTTTTATTTGATGACTTTTCAACAGAGCAGATTAAAACAATACTTTATTTAGTTGACAAAGTTCAGCCCTTCCATTTGATTGGTTCAAATCGACCACCTCTTTCAAATCAGAGGTGTGGTCAGTTGTTTACAAGAGAGGAAGACCTCTCAGATGAAAGCAGTGATGAAGAAGAGGAAGGAAGTTGAGAGAAGAAGTTGAGCAAGAGAAGACAGGAGGAGAAGGAGTAAGCTTTAAGATGAAACCTACAGAAGACTTCCAAGGAGAAAATTAGTTTCAACTTTAGCAAAGTCTGATAGAACCCTCTTCAGTGATCCAGACACCTGCAGTTATCATCAAAGAGTTAATAACAGCTGTCCAGAACTCCAGGAGACGCTCCGGTTGACCATTAGAGCCAGTGACCAAACTCCGCGCCTTGATGTCAGGGATGTGAAGGAATTTCCACCTTTACATCAAAAGACCATCTGAGCAGAAAGAGTCCAACATCTGGTATCTTCAGGCGGCCTTCGAAGACGACTCCTGGTAGGAACAGCTGATCTGATACGCTGACTGTTGACTCTGGTGTCCAAGAATTTAGATTTTAACCCTTCCCACATTCTTGTAATATTCTAAACAATGTTTCTAAACTCTAAACACTCTAAAAGAGCACAGACTGTCATGATTTCGGCTCTCTGCCTCTGCATTCAGCCACCTGCAAGCGCGCTTGGCCACGCCCACTTCACACATTCTGCACGGAGATCAGCTGATCAGCTGCAGCAGGAAGTTTATCCTGCAGTGTGGGTTGCACAAATGCGCAGCGGGTGCTATCCATCCATCCATCCATCCATTTTCTTTACCCGCTTATTCCATTTTGGGTCACGGGGGTCGCCGGTGCCCATGTCCAGCAATCACTGTGTGAGGGGCGGGGTACACCCTGGACGGGTCGCAAGTCCATCACAGGGACACAGAGACAAACGAGACAAACAACCATTCACTCTCTCACTCACACATAGGGACAATTTAGAGTTACCAATCAGCCTAACATGCATGTTTTTTGGTCTGTGGGAGGAAACCGGAGTACCTGGAGAAAACCCACGCATGCACGGAGAGAACATGCAAACTCCACCCAGAAAGGCCCCTGGACCGGGGTTTGAACCAAGGACCTGCTCGTTGAGAGGCAGCAGCTCTACCAGTTGCGCCACCGTGCTGCCCCAGCGGGTGCTAAATACTTTAAAATAATTAATTTTAAATAAAAATTCCATGCCTATCATGCAGCTCATCCATCAATCAGCCATTGTGTATCATATCCAGTCTAATTTTGAAAAACCGCGATAGAGCGAGTCCGTGATAAACGAACCGTGAAGTAGCGAGGGACTACTGTACTTCTGGGGCCGGTTTCGCAGTCAGGGCTTAAATAAAACCAGGACTAAACTAATCTTGTCTACCTTAATCCACACTAATCTAATTGCTTTCTGAGATACTGTTCAACTTCAGATTAACTCATTCCAGACTACAGAGTCTGTGACTAAGGTAATCAAGGACCAGTCATAGCATGAGATGGAAGCCGAATCAGATTAACAATGTGCATATGGTGCAAAGGTGAGGTATCTCTGAAAACCTGGGGTGGACTTTTCCTATTATAAATTTCAGCAGTCTGTGTGTATGGAGCAGGAGTTTGACTTCTCACCAAGCATGGACAATGGAAAAAGAAAGCGTTCAAAAAACTTCAGTGAAAGTGAGAAGTTGCTTTTGAAGGAAATTATTTCAAAATATCCTATAATTGAGGACAAACATCATGATTCATCCACAAAAATATAAAAACTAAATGCATGGACTGCAATTGTGAATGAATGGTAAATGGTAAATGGACTGTACTTATATAGCGCCTTTCTATCTTATTTCAAGACACTCAGAGCTCTTTCCACTACAATCTGTGCCTCATTTACCCATTCATACAGGACTCTACTAGATCTCTACAAAGCTAGTTGAACAAATCATTCTAAAGAGACTAATCAGAGCTTTATCATATTCATACACTGATGGGACACACATCAGAGGCTATGAGGGGTTCAGTGTCTTGCCCAGGGGCACTTCAACATGTGATTGCTGGTAGATTCGAACCCCCAACTCTCGCATTGGAGGACGACTGCTCTAACCACTCAGCCACAGCCGAAATGAAAAAGTTACCAGCAGGACCCTCTAACAGATTCAGGTAAGATTTAATTATATTATTTACAGTATCCTGATTGTTCTAATCACTCACGATGAAATGTATGTTTGCTCATATGAGGTCATATATTGCCTTGTAAAGGTCACGTGAAAAAAACATCAAAATACAGCTGAAGAAAACAACCGCCATTGCTCATAGGGAGCATTTCAAGATAGCTGGGGGACCTCCAGTTAGACCACAGACTGATGACCTGTGAGACTGGGATGATTGAAAGCCAACAACCCTTGGATGGCATCGCAGATGATGATTATCTGGACAGTTCAAGTAGGGAAACTCTTCAATACTGTTACAATGTGTGTGTCTGTGTGTATTTATTGCCCTGCTCAAGAAAGCAAAATAGTACCATCTTTTGCACTATGAATAGAAAGGAAAAATACTATTGAAATATTATGTCTTATATTGTAATTCTCTCTAGAAAAAGATGACCTG